CGGGCGGTGCAACAGGCGGTGCCTGAGGTTGCTCCTTTGGTGGAGAAGCACGGGCTCTCTTCTTGGGGGGTTGCATGCCACCCTGATTCGCGTCCTGCAGGTCGCAAACATGGTTCGACAAACCTCCGGCCTCCAAATGGAGAACAGTGCTTGGCATTGCGCACTCAATATGGGCATTTAGCTAGCAAGCACTTAAGCTTATGATACGCTGAATTTGCCGGTCCTGTTCATGTTCATCATGCGCTTTTCTTCCACGACCACGGCCTCTGCCTTCACTCCTTCCCCTTCCCCTTCCCCTTCCTCTACCACGCTTTTTTTGTTCACCCTCTGCGTCGCTGTCATGTTCATCTTTGTAATCACGGTCTGGATCTTCCTCGTTGAGGGCATCATTGGCGGCTTTTTTCAAAGCCCGTTGGGCTTCGATCAAGTCAATGTTGTTCGTGCTAATCTTTCTCTCAAGATCCCTGCATGCGTTTAGAGCCTGCTGCTCAAGCGAATCTGCTGCTGCTTCCGGCATGCTTGCCAACATTGGTCTTGTATCCTGCGTTCATTCATGTTTGCGAGATTTTGCGATCGATCGGTTGCATTACTTTTCCGGAAAGATTAACACAGCGCTTCTTAAGCGATATACTTGCATGAGGAAGCAGCACTGGCCGTAGCCAAAATATTTTCAGAATTTGATAAATGTTTGACACATATGTTTGACACAGCTGTCATCAATGAAATAAATATTGATCGTTGTAATATAGCAGAACATGGTCCTGAAAGGTTCCTTTCACCTTCCCTGAGGTCTCAGCATCAGAGTCAACCATCGCAGCATCGCCGGCAGATTTGGCGGCAGGAGGCTCGCTGGGGGGCGCGGCTTTGGGAGGTTCTTCGGAGGGCAGCTCATGAATTTCAACAGGCTCAATGCAATCGTCGTCCTCCTCCGAGCCTATCTCTTCTTCCCCCTGCTCTCCACCCTCCATGTAGTGCATAGGATCATCATCATCATTGCAAATCTGAGCGTTTGGGTCCATGACATAGAATCATACAAGCGACAATCTCTATATCGATAGGCTGTTTTTGGAAATGCATTTTATTGGAGTGCATGATCTAACTCGAGCCTCTTCTGGAACTTGGGAGTCTGCTTCCATCGGATCAATCACCTGCATAAATTATGTTGCTACTGATAAGACTGCTAACGTTCATGTCACTATTACATCTATTACCATTCTTTCAGAAAGCACCACAAGACTTGTGCTTGATTTAAGTGGTTCAACTTCAACTCATGGCCTGAGTCTTCTTTGCATTCGGTGCCGTTGACCGCCCCCTGGTCGGCATCTTCCGGCCCCTCGCAGTGAGAAGGCCAAGTTCCTGTGACAGTGCAATACTTGGACATGACAATCCTAAAAACTTATCTAAGCTGATCATGGTCAAGACTGGGCGCTCCTCCAACCGAATTTTGACCAATGTCTTCAGTGATTCCATACGTCCATGCGACTTCCTGCGGGAAATCAGAACCAACATATGCAACGGACTGAGTAACACTTGTCCTGGACTTTTGTGTGCGCTGGAACCGGTTCATCACATAGGATGCCAGCGCCCGGTGGAGACCAGCTTCCACCATTGCCCAGGCCTGGAATCCAAAGGTACCGGGCAGAAACATTTGAAAGCGGTATCTTTTTGCAAATTTGGGCAACCGGCTTGATGTTGAGCTTTGGAGGTAAAGTTGTTCAGCTTCTTGTTGACTGAGAGCTCATAGAGAACTCCCTGCCCACAGTAGCGGTATTGTTTCCGATAAATCTATTTGCATGCACACACCCATGCATGCATGCATCATATCACTGCGTGACCTAATTTTGATTAACATGTTTTGTTTCAGGCCTCAACTTCTTTCTGAAGGGGCAAGTCACCAACGAATTGGGCAAGATATGCCGCAGTAAACTCATAGTTCACCTGTCGTTCCGCCTGACAAATCGCTCAGGCACAGGCACAGCATAATTTCAAAAAAACGATCTGGCTTTGATCCAACAGTACTGCAGTTCTAGTTATTGTGCTCACAAAAGTCAACACTCCTCGACTTCTGAGATGTGTTTGGCACTGACATCAACGACCGAGAAGGCCTAGCACACTCCGCAGGTGCGATCGATGTCACTGACGGTTGCTTGACTGTGCATATCATGTGGCTTGGCAAAGAATAAAACATGCCGGGTAAACGGCGTTTTTCTTGCCAGTCTTTTCCTTGATATCTCGCTTCCGCTTTTTGATGAAGTCATCCGTCACGAAGTCCCTGTAGAATCACTGTAGAAAGCCTCCGCATCTGAACTTGGGCCACACATTCATGCATGATTTGTTCTAGCTAGCAAGCCTGCAAGATGTAGATGCGCTCACGTGATCGATCACGTGAGGC